AGCTATATCTGGGTTCTGAAGCATCCCCTTGATGTAACGTGCGTCCACTTCGACGATTAAATTCCGGACCCCTAGGAGATAAAGGCGGAGTGCTCGGAGACTGCGAAACAGGCCATAGATCTCGAGTTTGGGCTGGGAGAATCGTCGCTCGCGGTCATTGAGGGTGATGGAGCCGAATCGACTATAAAATCGGCGCTTGGAATTTTCACTGTCCTGTTGGCAGAGATAATACCCTACGGCAATATAGGAGGTATCCACAGCGAGGATGACTGGGGACTCCGACGTGTAATCAATGGGACGCAACGCCGGCGACTCTAGGACGGCCTGCTTAAGGTCCTCCTGTGCTAGACTTTGCTCCGGACCCCATTCAAACGGTACGCCTTTACGAGTAAGCTGGACTAAAGCATTGGCGCGATGTGCGAAGTTCCGGATGAAAATACGGAGGACTCCGACCGTCCCTAGAAAAGCGCGAACCTCAGAAAGCGACTTACAGGGTCCCCAATTACGGATGACCTCCACGCGCGACTCATCAGGGATCCGGCCTTCATAGGTACAGCGGTGTCCGATAACTACAATCTCCGGACCGCAGAGGGTGAGCTTTAAGCCCGAAAATGTTCCCCCACAGTACTTCATTCGCTGGACGACTCGGTTGAGATTCTGGAAGTGCTCCCACACAAAGCGGCGGATGTCTGAATTTTCTGGGATCGTCTCATAGGTACCGTCCGCTTGGATATAACGGCTCGGAGGTCCTTTGACCGGCACATCGTCGATATAGGGAATTGTAACGTCTGGTATCTCGGGCTGAAGGATAGCGGTCACGTCGTCGTGAAATATGGGCACCGAATTACTCCATCCCATGGGCAGGGTGACTAGTCGCATCGCTCCGAAGGGCGTCTGGAAAGTAGTAAGGTCCCTGGACGACTCCGCAATTTCTCGCTCGTCGTATCCCACGTATAAATCCAACATAGCGCCACAGGCGCGTCCTGCAAATTGCTCCGCCATGTGTTCAGGGATCGGAGGGACGCCGGAGTGTTGAATCGTGACGGCATTGAGCGGTTCCAAGCTATGAACGAGCCGGAGAGACTTCCCATCCTTCTTGAGTACGCAGAACCATCTGGAGCGGTAAGAAGCATTAGACGGCTCATAGACACCTGCCGCAATCTTCTTTTTAATTACTGCGCAGACTTCGTTGTAGATACCAGGCGGAATGGGAATATTCTTCTGGATCCACGGCGTATGAGGGAGTACTGGGAATTCGATGGGAGGAAAGAAATCCTTGCGAAATCGGCCACGCTCCGAGTCGTTCCAGGCAAATGCTTGGTCGTGCTTGCACATAAACTCGTCCATTAGATTTAGCTCCGCTTCCGTAAGGAATCCGCTAGGATGGGCCTTGTGTAGCGCATCCCTACGCTCTTGTGAATATCGTCCGGTTGGCTGGAAGGAAGGGGGAATTGGGGATAAAATCGGCATGTCGGCCAGCGGATCTCCTACAATATTGCGCTGGATTCTATACTCCTTGGGCAACGTCGCAGGGACCGCTCGGACCTTCTTGGCGACTGGTTTATACTTTTTCTTTGTAGCAGCAAAAATCGGGACTGGCGAATTCGGTACGCCACTAAATAAATTAACCGATGAAAAATAAGACCGGACCACTGGAGACTCGCAGGCGGAGAGATAAAGGAAAGGAATGGAATCTTGTATTGAGGTTTTGCTATTTTCTTGATGATCTAAAATATGGAACGCAGAAATCTGAAACCGGGCGGGGGTATCTGTCTCTTCGATGACAAGGGCCGCCCACTGCTCCTCGTCCGAGTTGCCTAAAAATAAATCATCCCGCTCCAGAGGCGGGGCCTCGAAATCGAGGGCGACCTCTTGGGAAGGTTGGAATGGTGGAAATAATTCCGGAGTTGGGGTCGTTGATCGTGATCGTCTGGTCCTCATTTTTAAAATTCTTGATGCAGCTTTCGGTCAATACATCAAAGGGGCGTCCCAATAAAATGTCATAGGCTGGGTCCCGGATAACATGGATCTGGAGGTAAACGGTAATATCTCCGACCTGGAAGGGAATATTGTGCGCCAGTCCCAACGACATATCGATCGTTTTGTTCGCCGACTGCATCTGGAGCTGAATGGTGGGATCATACTGAAGTCCCAGTGAATGGCAAACCGCCTCTGACATTGCTACGATCTGAGAACCTGGATCTAAAATCGCCTCGACCTTCTCCTGGTTGTCTATGAGGCCCATAATGGACCGCAACGCATGAGACTCCTTGGCCACGACTAGTTGCTTCGGCGTCTCCCCCGGACCTAGACTCCGGAGATAAATCTCATAGGGATCGGGCACCACCAACACTCCAGGACGGATCGAACTACCGCTGTGAATTAATTGCTCCACGTCCGGCAACTCCGGACCATCGTCTTCATCCTCCACTTCCTGTATAGTGGCTTGGAGTCGAACAGCGGGCGGCGCGGGCACTTTCTTGGGTGTCACAATGTCCCTATATTTCGCGCGGACCTCCGGAGCGATGGATAATAATTCCTCAGAGGTCAACGAAATATTCGGAGTCTTGAGCGACCGCTCAAACACCAGGTCCGAAATGCGAGGATTATAGACAGGGGCCTGCGTGCGGTAGGCTGGCTCCTTGGCTTGTGACGCGTCTGCTGCTTGAGCCGAACCTTTTTCGACACTCCGGGGAATTGCCTGCCTAGGCCTGTTGACGTCCTTTGCACCGGCGAATGGATGGATTGGTCCCTCTGACATGTGAGGTGGGGACTCTCGATTTATTGCCGGCCGCACTGCTTCGGCCACTGGCTGTTCTCGTACCGGTTGACTCTTGGCTCTAGAGGGTGCGGGACCTGTCGGACCAACTCCGGACTCCTTGGAGGGGTTGGAAGACCTATTCGGAGGAGGAACGTAGACTCCGTCAAACACCTGCTTCCCTTTCCCTCTCAACGCAAATAATTCCCGCTCCAAGGCCTCAATTCGCTCCCGCTGGTCCAAGTGGAACATATCTGTGGTCTGTGGGGCCGCCGACGCTCGCACCTCCTCCCATAGCATTGTGTCCAATAAATGGACGCTTGTCTGCCCGGGGTTCTGGCGGTGCCACTCTAATATGCGGTCCCTCATTGTCGCTCCTGGCATAGACCTTGAGACCATTGCTCCGCCTGGCAGGACCACTTGTCCCTCCGCGTTCCGCTTGCACCGACCGGCCCTAATATCCTCCTCGACCTTGGGACATCTCCTGATCGAATGGTCGTGCTCCCCACAGTAGATGCAGTTATAATTCAGGGGGGCAGGCCTGTTGGACGTCGCAGGAGCCATCGCAGCGTTCTGTTGGACAGCGGCTACTAAGGCTTGACTGATGGACTTTGTAATAACCTCCACCAGTGACGACAGGTCCTCCGTTTTTACAACCGGTGCACTCGGACCGCTGCTGGCTGGCTCCGGACGCTTCTCAGTGGTCCCTATGGCTGACGTCCCATGAAGAATAAACTCCGCTGCCTTGTAAACCTCGTCCACGCCATATGGAGTGTCTGGTTGGTGGTCTACGTCCTTGATCTGGAGTCGCCCGAATATTTTGTTCCACAACTCCGGCTGAAACCCTCGCTGGAATGCCCTCCCCTGCTCTCGAACGGAAATGATGTCGTTCTTGCGCAGATATCGAGTGATAAGTAGGAAGTCGCGATGAAATGCTGCCAGGTCCGCCAAATTGTGGATGCCCACTCGTTGCCTTTCCCCCACTAGTCGGTCCATATCCCCGACACTATATCTCTGGTCCTCCTTAACGGCTGGGTATAACGCCAAGACCGCTCCCTTGAAGTCCTCGAAGCTCTTGGAGTCGTCCGAAAATTCCGGGACGCCTTTCCATAGCTCCTCCTCATACATAGGCACGTATTTCACCACTACCGCCTTTTTCGTTGCTTCATTCGGGACCGCATTTGGATGAGCGGCAAATAAGTCCGCTAGGTCCTCGAAATAGCGAAGTAGGGTCCGCGG